CCCCGCCCACCCGCCCCGCCCACCCGCAGGAGGGCCCGGCCACCGTCCTGACCGCGGTCAAGAAGAAGGTGAAGAACGTGGGCATCTTCCTCAAGGTGAGGGGCCCCGTTTGGGGCAAAAACCGCCGGTTTGGGGCAAAAATATGTGATTTGGGGCAAAAAAATGTGATTTGGGGGCAAAAACCCGCCAGTTTGGGGCAAAACCCCGCCATTTTGGGGCAAAAAAGTCCAATTTTGGGGCAAAAAAGCTGCCAGTTTGGGGAAAAAAACCACCAGTTTAGGGCAAAAAAATGTGATTTTGGGGCAAAAAACCACGATTTTGGGGTGAAAAACCACGATTTTGGGGCAAAAAACCACCATTTTGGGGCAAAAGCCCACCATTTTGGGGCAAAAAAATCACGATTTGGGGGCAAAACCCCACGATTTTGGGGCAAAAAATCGCCATCTTGGGGCAAAAAAACATGATTTTGCGGCAAAACCCCGCCATTTTGGGGTGAAAAACTGCCATTTTGGGGCAAAAAACTGCCATTTTGGGGCAAAAAATTGCAATTTTGGGGCAAAAAGCTGCCAGTCTGGGGCAAAAAACCGCCAGTTTGGGGCAAAAAAACGTGATTTTGGGGCAAAAAATTGCGATTATGGGGCAAAACCACGCCATCTTGGGGCAAAAAAACACGATTTTGGGGCAAAAACCCGCGATTTTGGGGCAAAACCACGCCATCTTGGCGCGAAAAAACGTGATTTTGGTGCAAAAAACTGCCATTTTGGGGCAAAAAAATACCATTTTGGGGTGAAAACCCGCCAGTTTGGGGCAAAAACCCGCCAGTTCGGGGCAAAAATCCACGATTTTGGGGCAAAACAAAACCATTTTTGGGTAAAAAAATTCAATTTTAGGGTGAAAAAATCTCAATTTTGGGGCAAAAACCTATGATTTTGGGGCAAAAACCTTGCCGTTTTGGGGCAAAAAACCGCCAGTTTGGGGCAAAAAACACGCCATTTTGGGGCAAAAAACTGCGATTTTGGGGCAAAACCCCTCAATTTTGGGGCAAAAAGCTGCCAGTTTGGGGCAAAACCTCGCAATTTTGGGGCAGAAACCCTCAATTTGGGGCAAAACCCCTCAATTTTGGGCCAAAACCTTCAATTTTGGGGTCAAAACCCTCAATTTTGGGCCAAAACCTTGAATTTTGGGGTGATATCCTTGAATTTTGGGGTGAAAATCCTTAATTTTGGGCAAACCCCCTGAATTTTAGGGGAGAAACCCTCAATTTTTGGTCAAACCCCCTAAATTTTGGGGTGGGAATCCTCAATTTTGGGCAAAATCCCTCAATTTTGGGGTGAAAACCCTTCATTTTGGGGCAAAACCCCTCAATTTTAGGGCAAAACCCCTCAATTTTGGGGCAAAAATCCTCAGTTTTGGGGCGAAACCCCTCAATTTTGGGGTGGAAACCCTCAGTTTTGGGGCAAAAATGCTCAGTTTTGGGCCCAAACTCCTCAATTTTAGGGTGAGAAAACTCCATTTTGGGCAAAAAAAATCCTCAATTTTGGGGTGAAAACCTTCAATTTTGGGCCAAACCCCCTCAATTTTGGGGCAGAAACCCTCAATTTTGGGGCAAAACCCCTCAATTTTAGGACAAACTCCCTCAATTTTGGGGCAAAAATCCTCAATTTTGGGATGAAACCCCTCGATTTTGGGGTGGAAACCCTCAGTTTTGGGGTAAAAATGCTCAATTTGGGGCCAAAACTCCTCAATTTTAGGATGAGAAAACTGAATTTTGGGCAAAAAGCTCAATTTTGGGGTGAAAACCTTCAATTTTGGGGCAAAACCCTCAATTTTGGGTCAAAACCCTCAATTTTGGGGTCAAATCCCTCAATATTGGTGCAAAACCCCTTAATTTTAGGACGATATCTCTAAATTTCAGGGTGAAAATCCTTAATTTTGGGCGAAAATCCTTCAAAACCTCTCAATTTGGGGGCAGAACCCCCATTTTGGGGGCAGAACCCCCCATCCCCGTGCCCAACCCCCCCCTTCTGACCCCCCGCC